TACGAACCCACCCCTCAACTCCCCCCTCTTCCACTTTTTCTTCTACTTTTCCATTTCCGGACAATTCTCCCATCGATGTCTTTAATCACAACCCCATACAGGTAGATAAAGAAGACATGGAATATGTCATGTCCGACGTGTCGGACTTATCACAGAAAATAAAAGATGATACATTATTAGACGACGACAGCAACACCACCCTTTTAAACAACGCCAAAATACATAAATTCCTGGAGGGCACCTTTAATTCCACGCGTATCGTTAGAGATTCGAGAAAATAATGCCCTAATTTGAAATTACTTGTCCGTTCACTAAATGATTACAGAAAGTGCACGGATTTGCCTGCCAAGGAGAAATTTCGGGTGCAAAGACTCACTGGAAGAATATTGAAACATGTGCAGACTCCGGAAAGTCGAGGAAAAACCCACCACCGAATCCACTGATGCGAGAACAGACGCTTTTAATTCGCGTCGGCCTCTCTCGGTTCAGCCTACAGTTTAATTACAGTGCTTACCTTTTCGCCTTTATTCTTATATCCATGGCTTGCTTGAATAAACTAACAGCTACTACCTGGAATATAAGGGGCGGCCGTGACGGACTTGATGTGAATGTCTTGTCCGTCAACGACATTATTTCTGGTCACCTACTCCATGTTCGCTTGGTTTTGGACGGCATTGCTCTCTCTCTCTTATTAACTTTCATGCGCCAACTCATGGAACAGAACGTGTAAAATGCTTTTCTAAACTAAAGTCGCTGTTAAACAACCTGAATGATGATTTACTTGTCATGGGTGGTGATTTCAATTGCACTGTTAATCCCAACATGGACACAGCCAACCACCCTGAACCGCATCTACCCTCGTCTGCTTTACTTTTAAATATTATTAGGAGATTTAAGTTGATCGATGCCTAACGCCACTTAAATACTAATTGCAGCGGATCCACTTGGTCTCGCAATACCTCCCATTCTCGCATTGATACATTCTTTATTTCTAAATCAGCCACTTCACGCATCAAACAGTCCCGTATACAAAATAACTACAATTTTTCTGATCACTCGCCCGTTACCATGTTATTGTCACTCGAAAACATTTCTCATCGCAGTCCCACCTGGTCGTTCAACAAAACACTCCTTGGCGACCAAGACTATTGCAATATTTTCAATGAATACTGGATGGCTTGGCGCAACAAAAAACACGCTTCAAATCCGTACAACTGTGGTGGGATATGGGAAAATTCAATATCAAACATCTGACTAAACAATACACCTCGAAAATCGCTACTAACTATCGCAACGAAAAACAAATGCTTGTTGAAGAAATACAAAAACTAGAAAACGACCCCGAAACACGCCTTTCAGGGAACAGAACACTCTCCGAAAAAAAACACAACTTGAGCACCTTGTACGAACTGAAACGCGCGGAGCTGCCATTCGATCTCGGTACAAAGTACTGAACGAGAGCGACGCGCCGACCCACTTTTTCTTTCAATTGGAAAAATACAAGGGTAGTAAAAAGACCATTTCTCACCCTGAGACGCGTAATGGCGGTGTAACTAACGACCAGTCAACCATCCGTCGCATGAAAAAAGAATTTTACGCGGACCTGTTTGCACCAAGCCCAGTCTCCGACGACTACCAGAATCGTACTCTTGAAGGGTTACCTAAGCTGACTGAATCCCATAACGACATTTGCAACAAGCCAGTGACCTTTGAAGAACTGTCCAAAACTGTGAAACTGTTAGCCAATGGTAAATCCCCTGGTATCGACGGTCTACCAGGGACGTTCTACAAACAATTCTGGCCTGTCCTGGGACCGGACTTGTTTGAAGTGTTAAATTGACAGGGTCCTACCAACATCATGTAGACGCGCTCTTATTACACTTTTACCCAAAAATTATAATACTAACCTTCTTAGCAACTGGAGACCAGTCAGTTTACTCTGTGCAGATTACAAAATCTTCACCAAAGCTCTTTCAAATACAGATAACAGAGCACTTATGCTTCAACCAAACACAACAAATAGAATTGTGTTTCTTCAGTTTATTAAAGTGCTTTTCCCGTATGGCAAATGAATGTTTACTTAGGCGAAATTTTGTAAATTAGGTAACTTAAGAAATATAATGTGTTCCTTACTTTTGGAAGACGGTTTTCAATGCATTTATACACCTAAAACATGCCTTCCCACAGGTGACTGTGAGACCTCTCGACTTATGTAAATGAATATACCCTTAACCCTTAACCTCCATTGTTTTATAATCCTCCGCCCACACCTCTGACAATATGAATATGCTGGTTCTATACGGTAAAAATAGTCTGTAATATTTTCTGCTATCTGTATTTTCACACTATGCCTAGAGGTTCGTTTGTATGTATCCACGTGTAAGTACAATCAATTTAAATAATCTTGCATTATTTGCCTCAATATTTTTTTTATTTTTAAACCGTTATTCATGTTACTAATATTCGCAAATAATTTGGTTGCAAGGACATTGATCTCAGTGCAGGGAACAAGGGAAAATTATGACCTTTGTTCATGAATGTTGGAATAGCTTTTGCTGTACTATGAGGTTTCATGGTTTTACAAATCGCACAAAAAGTTCAAATAATATAACGTGTATCTGTTCAACAGGTCATTGTTCGCACAATCAATGTCACAGTTATATCCATGTTACTGAATATACACTGTGCAACGAGTTGTGAGTGGAGAGGTCAAAGTTAACGCAGTACTCCATTTGACCATGTTGTTCTTCTTCTTCATCGCGCCAAAAAGAATAAAGTTAACAGGGCATGGTGTTGCAAAATATCTTTCCCCTTGTCCTGTAGCCATAACATTTACCAAGCAAACAGCCCAATGAGGAAGTGGCTGCTGACATTTACTCTACACTGAAATAGGTTACTCACCAATTCAAATAACTGCAATTCTTAAATTTAATTGCATCAGATTAGATTACAAGGAAAGGCAAGAAGGCTATAATTGATCTGTCCTTACACTATTGAAGATATTGGGTAATATAATTCCAATGCTCGCTCCTGTCTGAGTGAACTTTGAAGTGAATGGTGTATTTTGTTGTATCAACTATGTGACTAGTGTAGCAGAAGTATGCCTCCTACCTATTTTATAATACTCCTAACACTCCACAAAAGAATGCAGAGAACACTTCGAAGAAACAGCAGCACCACTGAAGTCAATGAAACATGTTATGCAATTTTACCATGCTGCTTGTTTCCACATGTACTTAGCCCATCACAGTCTATGGGTAGTGTGCCAGTCAGATGATACGTGTGTAAAGAAACTTTGGTATTCAGTGACATAATTTGCACGCAAAATGTCAAGATACAATTTAATGTATCCTTGAATACTTGCCTCATTCTGAAAAACACAATGGCTGGGGACGGGGTAGCAGCCTTGACACCTCTGTCAGTATTGTGCAATACCAGGGTAGTATAAGTAATAGCAATAGAAAGTCAGGTTTGTGTTCATAGAAAAAGACAGGCACATGATGTGGCTAATTTAATTCAAGAGCCAACATTCTGACTCATCTGTACGTGGTTTTCAGGCAGAACCTAAAAGCACCAAGAACAAGCTACCCGATCTATAACTGACCCAATATAATCATCAGTAAATAGTCATCAAGAAAATATGTAAAATATTCCATGCATTTATCAATGGAAGTGTACGTTGAAAGTGATAAATCAAGTTGGTGTGGGGGGGGGGGGTATCACTTGGTAATATCACAAGTTGCCATGTTATGACAAAGTGCATGTAGTCCATTATAATGGCAAGAAGTCCTCTTGGTTTAGTACTGTGTTTCTTAGGTAAAGACAAGTAAAGTGCATCTTAAGATTTTCAACCCATCATCTACCAAGATTTGTAGTTCAGGAGTAATATGTTCCTTACCCACTTTCATCCACACCAACGATTTATTATGGCTAGTATTGGCTACACTGCACAGCCCGGAAATTCATACCAGTCGTTATCTTGATGATTGTTTGTTCAAAATGTAGACCAAACAAGCGATCTAATTTCCATGTGCAATGTGCATTCTAAAAATTACATCTAGACTTGACACGATGTTTGGTCTGCCGGGACATGGAATTGGAATACAGTGGAGGGGTTGACACACCAATCTTGGGAGTGTTACACCTGCTCCACTATTTTATTGACTAGAACAACTTGACCAAGGCCATATAAGACCACCAAGAATGACAAAAAAGTCATCATATATGCATCAGGAATAGGAAGTGGGCACGTATTGGACATATGAACCCACGGCTGTGGCCGACGCCACATTGTGCAATCTTGCTCGCAGATGTATCGTATAGATGACATTGGAGAACATGGACACGTAGGTTGTTCGCATTTAACACTCTTGGATACAGTGTTGCAATGGTCTGTTAACACTGACATTTGGATGAGCCAAGCAAACAATGTATATATGATCGTTTCAGATCAGCTACTATGAAATCTCAAACTAGTTACATTTTGGTTTTACTAATATGTATACAATATACAGGGCAAAACCCAAACATTGATAAATATAGAAATAAATTCAAAGATCAATAAACCATTTACATTGCTGAGATATATACATTAGAAGTATTGAAGACTAATTAATATTATCAGTAATTGTGGAATTTATTGAGACACATATATTAAAACCAGCAGTCCTGACTACTTTTTGTGTTAATCTTAGCTTAGAATTTTACTGGTATTTTCTTTTCTGTGAGTATGTAAAAGTAGTGCAATCATATTTATTACATACAACGTTGAATATAAATAAATGACTGCCTATGCGTAGCACTATTGAATAACACAACACCATCACTGTCATTGAAGTTATATCTTTCTGTACTAATCTACATTAAGATTCTAATATGTGAGCTAAATAACTAGTTTGTAGAAATCTCAGTATGTTGTGATTTTTCTATATTGTATATCATTTACAGCATTGAATTCTTGATATTGTGGGATATCAATACCACTGTTATCTCCGAAAAACATGGCAACAACTTCAGACGATTTACTTAACCATATGAAGGAATATCACAAGAGTTTTCAAACTGTGTTGAATTATGGTTTGAAATCAAGAGAGCTTCGTTACAAAGAAGATGCGATAAAAACGGTTCACAAGTTACGACTGGAATCATGTATCGACGAAGTACGTGTTCTCTCTATTGGATCCGGAAAAGGTATGCTTATATGATTGTTGCACAATTCCGGAATTTAAAAAGATGGTTCGGGACGCTTGGTTTTTAATGAGAAAAACCTGTTGCAGGACTTCCATATTTCCAGGTCCGCATCGTTTTCGCAAGTCAATTATTGTTGTTTTCCTCAATATCCGTAGGATTTGTATATGATATAGGTGTAAGCATTTGTATATGCTTGTTTCTCGTGAATTTTCTTAGGACTTTTATACAGAACACGTGACATCAATGATGCAACGCTAACTTTGATGTGAAGAAACTGCAAGGGCTAGATAAAATGCTTACCTCATACATTGGGCGAGTGAATGAAGCGCTGCATATAAACCTACCTGACCACGATGTCAGTCATTTGATTCTGCACAATAGAAACAATAAATAGCATAAGTTGATTATCGAGCAAATCTAACATGTAGGTCAACCTTAAACGAATTCAGTTTACACATTTTATTATGAATGTGTGCATGATAAACATTGTCGAAATTTTATAGCATATTTTTTAAGAATAAAGGAGCTTGGGCCCTTTTCCAATACATTTTTTTGCAGAATTGTTGGTAGGATTCACTAAATGGCTTCAACATGATGAGAATCCATCCACAAAAAATATCTATAGATGGTTAGCGTGGTGGGATTTAAGTCAGAGTTCTCAAACTCGGACTCTGCTTGATAAATAGTCCTTCCCTATGGCAAAATGTTTTATCTGCGGTTGGACTTTATTTCCCATTAAAGTCTCCATAGGCCTAAAATAACAATAATCAACATCTTTGTAAATACTTTTTTTATTATCAGGTGACGTTGATCTTCATTTCATTAATGCCTTGGTGTACAAATATACAGCAATACATTATACCGTGGTAGAACCAGCAACTGGTCCATTAGATGAATTTAAGAGACTAATCGAATCCAATCAAGAAAGGTGGAGAGGAGTAAAATTTAGTTTCCATGTACAAGGAATAAACGAGTATCTTGAAGGAGGTGGTACATCTGACAAATATGACGTCATACTTGCCTGTCATTCATTTTATTGTTTTCGTAATGCCGGAAATACACTGCGTTATTTATACGACATGCTTTCTAAGGATGGAATGCTTCTCATAAGGGTTGACACAGGTTAGTATTCATAATCATTTTAGAAATCAATATAATTCACAATAACATTAATCGGACTATGTTAAACACATCGGCATATTAAGGTGCAATCAACTTGACCGGTAAAAACAACATTGTCTACATTCATATATTGGCATATATTTGTGTATATCAGTTTCCTTCATTTTATGTATTGCTTTGCCTGACTGCCTACATTCCTGTATGCATTACATTTAACGATTGATTTGTGTCATGCACTGCAATTTCTGTGAAAGAAAATTTTATCTCAATTGTCTTCATTTTATACTGTGAGGTTATTACGAGGATACTTCTAAGTGTGCACAAAGACAGTACAGCGGGAGTACTGTCTGCGTGCATACTTTGAGGTATCCTCGTAATTACCTTATTATTATACATCTTTCCCTCCCAAGGATACATCCTGGGAATGCCGGAATCCACAATTTTTAGAACAGATTCAGCGAACTTCTTTGTGTGAAGTTCGGTCAAACCGTGGTTGCAGCCATGTTTGGTTTTCATAATTAGAAAACGCTTACGCGCGTAATCATTACATATTTGGAATTCGCATTTTCTGATATGGTAAGATGAATATACCCCGTAAAATACGTCAGATTTACGGCACGCTGTAACTTATGGCGTTACGGTGAAAGATGTATAATAATACATTACTATATATTTAAAATAATAGTTAAAACTGCTTGATCCCAGTATATGATTCAGAACTTATAACACAATTCATACTCTTATTAATGTACTGTACAGATGGAGGATGGTTGAAGTATCTTAATTACAGAAACAAGTTCCAATTGTCCAGGAAGCACATATCAGGAGTAGAAGCTAAAAAACTAACTTATCTCCAGTTTCCGCATGGCTCCATTGAGATATTACGTAACACAAATGTTGTCACTGTTACTAAGTGCTTCGATAAAGATTCAAAGAATGGGAATAGAATGCTTGATTTCTTTACCGAAGTTTTCAATTTTAGGAATGCACGGCCACCAGACGAAGTAGAGGAGTGCTTGAGATATTTCAGGGATGAATGTTGTTATGTAAAAGCAGACGAAATATTGATTGATGTGGTTGAAGAAGACATCATAATTTGGAAGAATGGACACACTTAGTTTCATACACATGACTAGAAATGATTATATCTGTTAGCGTTTCAGATTATCCTGTGTTGATGTACGTAATTTGAAACCATGTATTCAATGTAGTAATAGTATTAAGTGAGAAATAACCATATTAACAAAACCAAAGAACCACAATTGAAAACATTGCTGACTAGAAACAAATTAGTAGTGAGTATTGATTTATTGTCCTGTGTACTTGAAACAACCAATGCCAGCTTAGCTGATGATACACTAAAAGAAGCATCATTCCAAACTGAACTTCAACCATACTCATTTCAATCATTGAAAATAAGCTAATTTGTTTTTGAATTAAACATGTTTTGACCTGATATTTCGGTGTATGTGTATTTCATTTCCAGTACTATTGTCTTGTCTACCCCATTCTAGCAGTAAAGTTCAGTGTGAGTTCTGTGGGTGGCCCTCAAAATTGCGATAAGCAGGCCTTACACCGTGACACACCCATTTTAGATCTGTATGGGAAACATCAATGTCATATATTCCATACATTTGCTTGTATATTGATCACAATTGTCGGTCTATTTTGGACGTAACATTGAAACAGAACATTGTGGAGGACACTCTGTAATCAAAATAGTTAGGCTGGGAAGTCTAGCCCCAAAGACCAATAAAGGTTACCTCTGTACTCATATAAGATTATTTTGTACCAGGCTTTGATTAATTTACTAAAATGATAATGACAGCAACGTACTTTTGGCATTGCTGTGAGTTATTGGCATATTTATTTCCTAATTTCTCCAAGCCCCTTTTGCTGTAAATCCAAGCTGCAAAATATGCATTTCTTCCAAAGACGCATTAGAACGGTCGGAAAACAACAGAAACTAAGATAGATCATCGTAAGTAGGGTGACATCATAGAAGATCGTCCATACACTCACGGACGTGGCCTCCATATTGGGTGGTGAACAACAAAGTATGCTCCTCGTAAGAGCATTTCATTAACTATTCAGCATATCTCAGATTGCTACACACAAGTCTGCACTATATTACGTGATCAAATGGGTCACTAATAAAGATTCTATGCATATAGTATAGTAGCCCCTGTGGGCCACCATATCCCCTCCCATTTCACAATAACAGGCTTATACAAGCCGGAAATATATGTCACTAATAAAAGTGAAAGGGAACATTCGAAAACAATTGTAGATCAACTTGGCTCGACAATTTGATCACATTTCCAAAGTACGTAACATACTGGCCGGTACCTGAGAGAATACAAATTTGCACCGTGTAATTGTATTTGGGTGTATATCCAGCAATTAGTCTGTCACATAACGCTTGTATAAACAACTGTTTGCCTCAAGTTCAAATGTGTTCCACTAATCAGTCACATCCATATCAAAACAAATGCAATACATTAGGTCAAAGCGCTCATACGAAATATATAAGTAACACAAAGTATGTCACAATCGTCGCTTCGATCTGTAGTTTTTCATCAATGAGGATTATGTTTTTCGAGTAATTTGACTTTATTACACACGATGAACGGCTACACATAACCAAATACAGCGATCTATTTGATGAACAACACAAACATCCCAGAGAGACAAACAAATGCATTTATCTATATAATTCGAACATGGGGAGTTCAATGAGAATGTCATTTTTAATATTGAAGCAGTATAGCCAAAAGCCAAAATATCTTTTTTGGTCAATTAGCAATAAGTAGTAAAAAAAAGTACGCCATATTATGCATACAAAACAATATTTATTCACCAATATATCTGTAAACTAAAGTTAGTGAAAAGCACAAAAGCGTAGTTCAGTTGACATAAAAGTTGACAGAAAATTATATATTTTTTTTCGCTACAGGTTTTGGTAATGTCATCATTTAGTCGTCATCACTTAAAAAATCTTCATAATCAATCTCTTGCTCCTCTTCTTCTTCTTCCTGATCGTCATCTACAGTTTTCTCCAGCAAGTCAA